ACTCGGGGAGTCAGGACAGGGGGGAGGAGGGCCCTGCCCAGGGGCCACTGCACTAGTGGGGTGGGGGGAAATTTTGGAGGTCAGATGATAAGACTGAGAAAAGGCTCCCCCTCCCACCCCCACAGTGTCATTGCCTTTCAGACGATCTGGATTCGAGTTCAGTGTAGCAGCCTGATCTAATCTGGGACCTAGGACAGTCTGTAAAGTGGGGGTGATCCTCCCGGCCCCAACACACACACACACACACACACACACACACACACACACGCGCGCAGAGATTGTGAGGCGCCACAATGGGTCAGACTTGAATAGATTCATTGACAAGTCAAATGACCCCATCTGGATGGTCACCCTGGGCTCCTGCTCCAGCGGGGTTCGGTGGGAGGTAATGCCCCTGGGGGAACAAGGGGATGGATCCAGCCTTTTACCAGCCTGGGGATGAGGAGACCAGCTCAGAAGGTCCCCAGAAGTGACGTTGAGGGGGGCACAACCCGCCTGCCAAGCCCTGGTCAGGAGCTCACTGTCCACACTGGCTCCTCCTCTGTCTGGACGTCGGCCCCATCCTTGCTCCCTTGACCAGTTCTCCACACCATAGTACACTGGTTTCAAGGTCAAAGGACCAGGATTCGTGACCTTTCTCTGTCACTTACACTCTCTGAGCCTCAGTTTCCCTGCTCTGCAAAATAAAAGAGTTTGGACGATCTCTTAAGACCTCTTCATCTGTCCTGATGCACAGTACACAGGTCAGGGAAATAAAAGAATGCAGTCATTTCAGGAGGCCAATAAGGGTTAAATGGGGCCTGGAAATGGGTGTGGGATACTTCTGGAAGGGAGCTCGGGATTCTGAGTTGGAGGTGAGGACCCAGGACTTTCTCTCCTATAGACTCATTCAAAGACTGAAGTGGGAGCCCGACTGTCCTGGATGGCAGGTGTGTGAGGGTGACCCTGACTGTCCAGGATGGCCAGTGTGGGAGGGGAGCTAGGTGAGGGACAGCTCTGAATGTCTGCTTCAAGGAAGTTCAACGTGATAAGGAAGGATTGGGAACCATCATCACTAAGGTGGTGTGATAACAGTGAATCCAGGGACTTCCTAGCCAGTCATTGCTTAGTCAGCCCCACAGCTCTTCTTTCCACTTCTTCCTCGGCATAAAGGCACTGAAAAGTGCATATTATAAGCAGGAAAGTGATTAATGTTAGATGCCTTCACCAACACGGAACATCCATTGGGTCTGGTTGGCTACCAGCATCGTCTCCACGAGGCAGGGATTCCAGAATTGCATGGAAGGGAGTCCCCGTGGTGCTGAAGACCAGGTGTCTCTTCTGGGCCTGCTTGCTTTGTTTTTCAATCACTGTCAGAGAGGAAAAGATCCTTCTAATCAATACATTTACTTTAATGATGGCAAACAAACAAACATTAGGGAGGTCTCTAAGTGTTTGCTCTGGAGTTTGAATTTAACCCTGGAGGCCGTAGAGAGCCAGTGAATACTCCCTACCCCCTTCATGGAGCTTGGGGGGGAGGAGGGGGAGGCGGTGCCTTGCAGTCCCAGCTGGCTGACCACCCATACTCAGAGGAGAGGGACTAGGGTGGGGGAGGGCTTGTGCCCCTTGTGGTGGCCAGAGACTGGAATGAGGTTATGGGGGTGGGGTCCTTATCTCCCCCTTCTCATGACTTTGTCAGCCATGACTGTCTCTCTCTCGTCCTGCACAAGGAAACAGGAGCCCAGAACAGAGGGTCCCCTGGTGTATAAGATGGGAGGACAAGTCCCCAGCTCCTCGGCTTATGGTGTCCCCGCTTCTGTGGCCCCAGCCTCAGAGGATACTATGATCTCTCCTCTTTGCACCTACTCCCCGTGGTTAGGAGAAGCCTGGTCCTGGGGGAGGGGATGATGCTTGTAGAGTCTCCCTCCCCCCCACCCCAAAGAGTATAGACCCAGCCAGATTTGGGTCGTGGGAAGGAGCAGCAGTCAGCCTGTGCCAGGGGGTAGTCTGGGGCCAGAGCTGGCACAACCCCCCTGGCATGCCTGCCTCTCCTGTTTTCCCTGACCCAGAGGAAGAAGGCTGGGGCCTGATGGGGAGGGGCCTTTAGGACCGAGGGAGTTTGGCTGTCCAATTGACTGGTGAGAAAAGTGACCGATTGGTGTCTGAGCTGGGGACTGTGTGTGGCTCTGAGATCATATGAACCTGGACTGTGGCATTGTATGGACCTGGAATTATGTGTCTGAGTTGGTGTGAATACCGCATTGTGTAGGAGCTTGTGTGAACCTGGGATTGTGTGTGTGTGTGTATCTGAGTTTGTGTGAGCTTGGGTTTGAGTCCGGAACTCCCACTCTGAATTCTCCCCACCTCCCCTCAGCCCTCTGGCTCCCTCTCCCTGGTGCTGAATATGCATCTATACCCCACCCACCCTAGACAAAGGAGGGTCTCTGGTCCTTTCTCCTCCCTCCTAGCCCCTCTCCTCTCCCCTTCTCTTTTTGTCCTGGATCTCTCACACCTCCTCTGCCATCCCTTATCTCTGCTCTCTTTTCTCAGAGCTGCCTACCTCAATAGGTCCTCCCCCTCCCTGCCCACCCCACCCCCAAAGCCCTCCCTACCCTCCTCTCCCAGTCACCCACCTCGCTCGGCTTTCCTCCTCCCCGGGCCCTCTACCCCAAGCCTTCTCCTCCTCTTTTCCCTCTCCTCCCTCCTCTCCCCTCTCCCTGATCCCTCCCACCTGCCCCTCTTCCCCTCCTTTCTCCTTTCCCAGCTGCCTCCCTCAGCTTGGTCCTCTCCCTCCTCCGTCTTCCTCCCAGCTTCCTCCTCCTTCCCTGGCTCTCCTCCCCTTTCCCATCCCTCTTCCTGCTCCTCTCCCCCCTCCTCTCCCTCACTCCCCTCCCTCTCCGTCCCTCCCCTCCCTCTCCTCAGCTCTCTCTCTCTCTCTCTCTCTCTCTCTCTCTCTCTCTCTCTC